ATATTGAGATTGCCAATGTTACAAATAAATCCAGACTAAATTAAAACTCGGCACTCTTACGTTGAAGAGCAAACATCGAGTCTTTGCACATCCTGGAACGGAACTGTCATTCTCTTAAAGTTTACAGGGGTGACCTTATGTGGTAACAACGGAGGTAAACGACAGGAGCGTGGAAGGACATCACAACAAGCCACAATGTACAGAATTATATTTCGGACTTTGTTGGCGCCTCGAAGTTCTTCAGTCAATGTCTACGACTCGTGTGTTTTAGCAGCTAAATGTGACAAGACGGTTTTCAGGTGAGGTAACCATGTGACTGTTAGCTGTGATTGAACGGGCCACACTGTGAAACAGAGTAACTAATGACCGTGAGACTCAGCTGCCGAGCTTCTTAATGTCAAAGAACAGGTTGCCACAGTGCAAACGAAATATGCTGAGTTTTGCTTGTTTCGTTAAACAAGAGTAGCATGTGGCTAGCAACTAGCTTATTCTAGCCTAAAGAGGGGGATGGACGTCTTGACTGACAGCTCTTCAGGCGGTTGTTTCCATGGTAATGTGTATGTGAAGTTAATCGCACGGACCTGAAAAAAAAAGTTTGATTCACGTATAGATGCACAGACTAATATGTATATTATATAAGATGTATGCAAAGCATCACAAGTTGTCATGTTGTCTTTAAGCGGTATGCTTGTAAATGGTGTAGATTAAAACTGCATGGAATTGCATACAAATCTATAATGTATAATAATGTTATTTTTTCCAGACACTGTTGCCCCCTCCTTAGCATTTATTACGTTCAATATTGATGATATTGTGTTAATGTAATAATTATCAAAAGTCTGAATCGTGACCTTTTCAGATTTGGCTCCTTCTGATGCACAAATCTGTTTATCTCTCGACACAGGGTTACAAATAAATGTGGGGTAAAAACCTTCAGCACAAGTTCAAGCTCGCTCTGTGAAAAGAAGAATAACCAAGACCAGAAAACACAGGCAGTTAAAGAGGGTGACCAAGCGGAGGTGGTCGAATTGAAGGAGGAGCCAGCGGTGTTAAAGGCAGAAGATGGAGACGCCACAGAGCAGCAGACAGATGTTAAAACTGAACAGGTTGCATCAAAGCAGCCAGCGAAAACGAAGAATGATGCAGCTAAGAGTGGGAAGGAGAGTCTCCTGAATCTTCTTGGAGCCATGAAAGTAGAAGTCACCAACAAAAGGAAGCTCAAAAACCTGAAGGCAAAGCAACGTTATGAGTCAGTTACACAATATAAGCCGAAGGCGGCACCTATGAAGAGCACCATCAGTATGTATCAGAAGGCTACAGGGGATGATTCATCACAGAGGTGAGAGAAGTTGGAGAAGGGTTGTATTGCCTTATTGAAGTTTTTTGTGTTATTCACACCATTGGCCAATAAAGTTGTAAGATGACAACAGCAGTCACTCCACATGATTCTCTTTCAAGTTTATTTCATCTATAGTTACTTACATCACATGGAAAGTACTGGGCTACCTAGATGTTAAACCTACACAAGCTGCTCAACTATGGAAACCTATGCCATCCAGCTCCCAGCACACAGTTTTTGTGCTGATTGTAATGGTTTAGTCTGTGCTATGCACTGTGCGCCTCAGTACTTGGTGACTCAGCTCATGGCTAAGTTGCTGTAGTTCCAAAATGTTTCTCCCTTGCAACAATACCACATACAGCTGAGTGTGGAATCTCTAGAAGGGAAGAAACTCCACTAATGTGACTTGTTGCATATTATTACAGCTACTTGATTTCAATGAACTCCTTAGAATGACTCATTCATTCACAAATGTTTGTAAAGGTATACTGCATGGATCAGTGGTTGATTGGAGATGAAAACACCTGAATTCAGAGTAGCCCAATACTTATGTCCATACAATTAAAAACCAAACCTTAGGAGCTATACTTTTGTCACATTTCATTCACTCATTTTGGCCCCCCTGGGTTGTGTTTTTAGTGAGACTTTGGATCCTGATCTGGTTGCTGCAGCATCTTCTGCTGCCTCCACTCTGCCTAACCGCAGCCAGGCTGAATCTGAGCTGCTCAGGCAGCTGAGGCGGCACGAGGCAATCGCTGAGGCTCAGAAGAAAGGCGACATTAACAACCTCGGGTATGTCCCCAATAACTGTAGCTAATGAGATTGTTACTCCCCCCCCCCCTTTTTCTTTTCTGAAAAGCTTATTTAACAAAAAATAATCAAACAATATTTTCTCAGAGTGATTATCGCTGAAATGAAAGTAGGCAAGAATCCTAACCGGCAGAACGCCTGGCCAGCCGATCAGATCCGGTTTGATGACGACGGGCGAGGATATACACATTACAGAGGAATCACTTCCGAGCTGTCCGGTGTTCGGAAACGGTAATATTTTTATCAGCTCTTCACACTAATTTTGTTGTGTTTTTGTTGTTGTTGTTGTTTTTAATGGATCTTGTGTCTGATGTCTTTCTTTTTTTAAGGAGGAACTTGTTGCTAGGGAAAAGACTTAACATCTTCACCTCTGCTGCTGATGAAGATGGAATTGAACCAGCAGCAGGTATTGATGGATTTAGATTTTCTTTTCTTTCTTTCTTTTTTCAATTTGAAGTTTACTGTTCATTTCATATGTTTGCTCACAGAGGCCACTTTTTGGTGTTACTTGTCTCATTGTTAACGCCTAAAAATAAACATTTTTAAAGTTTGTCTTCAAAATGTATGCACCACACCAGAAGATCACTGACTTAACAGTGGTCTTCCTCATGAAGACTTCTAGTAAGCAAGTCATGAGTGACAATTGATTTTTCAAGCTTAAACTGATGAAACATGACATAGTATCAAACATGTTAAGCATGGCGCTTTAATAATGCTTGTCAAGACTGTGATGCTTTTAATGCCTGTCACCCCGTAAACATATTTCATGTCACATTGCAAAATCTTTTGCTTTTAACGTCATTGTATCATATTTTCAGCTAAGCCGACTCTGTGGGACATGGACTTTGCAAATCAGTTGTCTCTATCGACCAATCAGATGCCTCGAAATGGGTTTGAGGAAATGATCCAGTGGACCAAAGAAGAGAAACTATGGCAGTACCCAGTAAACAATGAAGCTGGTGAGTAACGAAGGTTGACTTCATTATTTTTAAAAGAGGGGAAAATACATTTTTCTGAGAGAGAAACTGACTGTTCATTCTTGCGTGTTAGGCCTCGAAGAGGAAGCCAAGGTCCCATTCCATGAGCACATCTTCTTAGAGAAGAACTTGGAGGAGGGCTTCCCTCGTGAGGGGCCAGTGCGTCACTTCATGGAGCTAGTAGTGACCGGCCTGTCCAGAAACCCCTACCTGACTGTGCAGCAGAAGAAGGAGCATATATCCTGGTTCAGGGACTACTTCCATCAAAAAGAGGAAGTGCTTAAGGAGGCTGATGTTTACCTTGAATAAACTTAACACGGTTTAATATGTCTGCATTTGCTCTTTGTGGTCACATAAAACCAACACTTTAAAGCGAGACTTTGCCACCGTGATCATAACTCATACAGTTTATGCGGCAGTCAAAACCTTCCTGGTTTCTCGACTCTTGCAGGAGAGAACTTAGTGGAGATATTGGATGTCATGCTATTGAGAAGAATGCCCTGAAAGGAAGTTAAATGTTGCTGCACACATAGTCAATGCAATATTTTTGTGATTCACAAGTGGTATTAAGTGATGTAAATAAAATGGTTGTGTTGATTTATTCTTGTTACACTGAAATATTGTTATAAAAGGTAATTAGAGTAACTTACTTTAAAAACAAGTAACACTTTAGCTGAATGGATTGTTAATGACCTTTGTGTGACAAAGAAAATGTGCAGATGAAAATATTTTTGTATTCTTTAAGTGTCACAGGTCATACAAACACCTTGCAGTCATGAGTGATTGTGTTTTCCCAGACCGGTTGCAAGAACTATAACTTGTGAGCAGTATTGAGGATCTGAGATCAAGTTTACAGTAGAAAACACAATCAGACCGTGAACCCTGTACCCCTTCTCAGGGGAAGTGCTTTTAAAGTTAAACAGCCTGTTTAACAACGTGCCACACGGATCCTTTCTGGTCTAAAAACACCCTGCTCGATCTATTGTCTGAGAAAGTGGAAACTGACAGGTTGATGTTTCAAAGTGCCCCACTTCCACATTTTGTTCACTTTTCCTTAAACAGAGTGATTGGCATGATAAGATGTTGGCAACACTTCCTGGTTTCTGTTTGTCTGGGCCATACAGTGCAGTGGGAGTGGGGGGGGGACACTCATGTAGAGTTGTTAAGGCTTGCCCACTAGATGGCGCTACTGAACGTTGTGGTTGCGCATTAACTTAGGATTCCCCACAGTTTTAAAGATGGCATCCAGATACTTCAACTAAAAAAAGTTTAGGAGTACATTAACATTTTTTGCTATATTTGTATAGAAGTTAAAAAAAATGTACAAATGGCCCTAATATATTTCTTTTTTTAAGCATAGGGCAGTGTTTTGAATCAGCTGAGCCCCCCCTCAGAACGTTTTGAAACTAAAAACATGCCCTCTCAGCTTGTATGGTGCATTCAAGTCCCGCCAAAATGTGTTTGAATGACAAGCGAACTGAAAGAGATAGCTGACTAACCAACCCTTTCACTACATATTTTTAAAACTGGTATTGAGTAACGACAACTTTTTATTTTTGTCGAGATGACTGTCACTCATAGCACCAAGCACAGAAAATCGTGGAATAAGATTTTAAACTCAAGTGCACCAATAAATACATAGATACGATGCTATGAGAAAGTGTGCCCAAACTATTAACTGTAGCATTAAATAGGCAGTTAAATCACCCTTGATGTGGATTTGCAAATTTGAGGGTCCATTTGGCGTGATTTGTCAACAGGACAGCACTTGAACGCACCTTCAAGTTGCAAAGCTCGGAGGATGGAGCCTGTGAGTAAGCCGTGAAGGCAGCACCGGAGTGTGGTACTGTCTACCACTTGTTAGAGCGGCAGACTTGAGAGTTGCTGCTAACTGACACAGTATGGTGTGAACTTCAGTTTTAGATATCTCTTTATTTTACATCACAAACGACTCTTTCTCTTTTAGGGTTTGTTTTCGGTCTTGATGACTCATTATTAGCCTCTCGATGTTTATGTCACCGTTTTATATTTTTTACTAACAATTTGGCGAATTCTTTTTAAGTGAACATCTATGTGACAGAGGATCGGTGTTACCCTGACATGGCTGAGTTACTGCCACAACAGCCGCAGCCGGGCGATATAGACCCGGACTTCGAGCCTCTCTCTCGCCCGCGGTCCTGCACCTGGCCGCTGCCCCGGCCGGAGCTCATCGACCCGGCCAGCTCCAACACATCCTCCCCAGCACCGTCTGTGCAGCAGGAGCCAGCAGCAAACGCCGAGTTCATCAGAAACCTCGACCTGGTGGAGGAGGACTATAAAGAATACTCAGAGCAGAAGCCGCTTTGCAATGCTTTTCAGTGCCGGGATAGCAACTGTGTGCATCATTACCCCCACCAACATCATCATCAACACCATCATCATCAGCTCCAACAGCAGCACCAGGTCCCGGGTCCACAGCTGTCGTCCCAGCAACAGGTGCCAAATCCTGGGGTCCCACCTTTGGGTGGACCCGGGCAAAGGAAGAGCAGCTCGTCCCGGCGAAACGCCTGGGGGAACATGTCCTACGCAGACCTGATCACCAAAGCTATAGACAGCTCACCTGAGAAGCGGCTGACCCTTTCTCAGATTTACGACTGGATGGTTAAGAGCGTGCCTTACTTCAAAGACAAAGGAGACAGCACCAGCTCCGCGGGCTGGAAGGTGAGTGTGTGCGTGCACGTGAACATTCGCTGTTAGTAGGATGTGTGCGCGTGAGCTGAGATGCATATATGCGCTGTAACCATCTTTACCACCACAGCACAGCAAGCAGCACCAATGAAAAAAGAGCCGCCAGCAGCAAAGCTGGACAAAATCATGATACCAAGAAAAGTTAGGGAGTGACATTTGAACGTGCTAGACTTTATATGCAGACAGTGGAAACTTGCACAAAACATATCAAGGCCACATCCTCATTAGCGTCTTATTGCACCGATTGCCACTGTAAGGCGTTTTGCACAATCTGCTGAGCAGGAAATGCAAAGGTTTGATGTGCAATTAATTGCCTTTGTAGTTAAAAAAAAAACCCAGCCCTGTTTCACTCGCATTTAGAGACGTCGTGGCAGGATATTTACACCTTAAATTCTTAAACCTGTGATTTTATTTTATCTAGAAAACTTGGTTTGCTTCAGGAAAGTGACAGTATTCACTTTCACTGTGTGCACATAGTGCAACGCATTTGGTTTAGTATATTCACTCAGCACTCACATTTGTGCTATGCAAAGCAACCCATCACATTTTTAAAATATGATTATAACTTTTAATTCAGGATTTATTAGCAGTTAAGTAATAACAGGAGTAACCCATTCCTTTTCTCTTTTAACACCATGGTGGGATTTCAAACCTGTCCGATGGTGGTTAGCTTTTAGAGGGGCTGCTGACTTCTGAGTAACCTTTGAAGTTTTGGAGTGGTTTCCTCTGTCAGTGGTAGCGCATGCCTCTCTGCTTTGTCACTGAGGACACATGCAGCTCTAAAGCAGCAGAGGACAAACCAGCTGGTCTGACTGTGAACATCCCATAGATGCCACCAAGACTGCTTTTCTCTATATAAAGCAGAAACAAACTTCAGGTTTGTTTGAGAAAAACACCTGACTGAGCGATGTGAAATTGGGTTTTGACTGAGGATAAAGATGTGTAGGTATGCTCTGTGGATTCCCCCACCCGCAAACACACCTATGTGGGAGCCAACCTGTATTATCACAAAACACATTGACTTGCGCAGCATTTCCACAGTCATGGAAACCCTGCTACCTCCCTGAAAACTGCAATTTGAATGTGCAGACCTGGAAATATTAAGTACAGGGGACGAGCTGTGAAAACATTTGCCTAATGCCTGCACAAACATGCTGATCCGGCCAGTGAGGATGTCACTCCACTCGTGATGGACAGAAGCCCGCAGACAAAGCCAAAGGTGGACCAACAGAAGACGCCAATTAAAGCCCGCACACGCCCAACAAAACGTACTCTGCTTGAGTTTTCAGTGTCGCAGCCTTTTCTGTAACCCCCTGCATTCTCTTGAGAGGTGATTTGAAAGTTGTCAGGAAGTGCCTTTGGGAAACCTCAGTCATATATAGCTCCCATTGTTTTAACCCCCCACCACCACCCTACTTGAAAAGCTTTGTCACAGATTATTATATATACAGACTTTGTTAAACCTACTTCTTTTAAAAATCTGCACACTCTTGAATGTACAGGCACTGACGAATCGGCCTGTTTTTGTTTGAAATAACTGGAAGCTACATAAACAGCTCAATCAGTGCTGGGGAGTGTTTTCGAGGGGAAGGGACTGGCAGAAGGGGATGCTGGGAACTACGTCAAACATCCTCCATTCCTGAGTTGTGTGCTCATATCTTTGTGTCCCTGTCTTCTAGAGTTTCCTTAGCGGATGCTACGGCCTGGAGAAAGGGATCGCTGCTCTTCATCCTATCTCTTTCTTCTGCTCTCTCTCTCTCTTTGGGTTTCTGCTCACGGGGTTTGTGCTTGTTCAATAGGACCTTGAGATTTCTTTTACTAAAGGCCTTTGCTTTTTTTGTTTGGGGGGGGGGTCTTTAAGACACAAATTTGGGAAATAAATAATTGTATTGGTGCACTTTGGCTTTATGAAGAATGTCTTTCCCTTCCTTAGTCATAGAGATAAAGAGAAAGAACAAAGAGAAAGGTTCTGTTACCCTTCAGCGAGGCAGCGAACGCTTCTCAGTTCTCTATCAAGAGCAAAAGCTCATGATCATTCACATATTTTACGTATAATCAACACATCTTTGCTTCAGCCTCACCATTCCTGAATGCTGGCATGCCCACCAGGCCTTGGAACTGCCGGCTTATAGTTATTTTTACACTTTCCTGTTAAAAAAACACGGCGGTTCCCCCACAATGAACTATGATGCATTTCCTGCCCGGTGGATGGAAAACAGTGCCATGTGTTAACATCCCCACCCTGCAAAACATGAGGGTCAGGGCAGGGGGGAAAAAAAGAGGATGAATCAATAAGAGATCATGTACACAGCATTTGTGTGAATCCAAGTCTATGCAAAATCACTTTTATATCATTTCAACATTTGTGCCACTTAAAAACGTAATTGATGGTCTACTTGTTATGATTGTGCTTTTTGACATTTTTATTAACAAAGCAGTTTCGTCTCTTGCTGTAGTGCTGCACAAAGATAAGCCAGGGATCTAATAGTGGGTGGAGGGCATTGCGCTTGATTGTAGCAGTACACCTAAAAAAGTATAGATAGGTGGAGCGCAGGGCAAGGGGAAAGGCACTGCCTCAGCAGCTTTCTGTCTACTGTATGTCATGGAGATTCTTTTGGTTTCCCCTCTAAATATTGTGTGGCAGCTCAGTGATCATGATGCCTTTGGGACAACAGAGGGCCCCTCCGTTATCTCGGGGAGGACTGGTTTCCCCTGGGATACTGGTGGGTCTGTGAGTAGCAGTGAACAGCTTGCAACGTACTTTTAGCGTTTTACTGGCAGTGCCACTGTTTTTCTCAATGAACTGTGACATTAGATAATGGAACAGGAAGTGACGCTCTTGAGTTTAACTGCCGCTGAAGTTCCGAGATGTCACCCAAAAACATGTTGATTACAAAAAAGCGTTTCCCCCCCTCCGTTTTTTGAAGTTTTTAAAAACATTGCCCTGCAAATGAAAGAATATTTCGTTGGGTTGCTTTGGTGATAGCCTGCAGAGTTGAGTCTAGTGACTGTCTCCTGTGAAGAGGTTTATCGCACTATGTTATCTAGCGCGGGGGTCAAAAGGTCACCAAGCCTACAGATCTGCAATGTGTTGATTTGCCTGTCTCACGCCTGATATATGCATATGACCATTTTGGAAACCAGTGACAAACAAGACTGAAGGTTTCAGGATGAGCCAAATGGCACAGTGGTAAAGGTCATCGTCCCTCAACTTACAGCCGATAAGAGCCAACAGCGGGACTGGAGTGATGGCAAAACCCAAACCAAAGTTCTTGGCAGGTTTTGCTGTGACCCATACACTTGCTTGAGTGTTATAACAAGATTTGTTCGATATGTTTCCCAGTTTGAGTAGTGGATCTCCTTTTTCCAGCTTCTGTGACTAGAACTGTCCTGAATGAAAAGCTAGAGCCACGTTAATTTAAGACATTTTTTTAGACATTATATATTTAAATCTCTTCCCCACTGGCTTCAGTTTTTAACCAAGTTTGTAATATTCTCCATTAGTGGATCACATAGTAAGGCCACAAAAATGTCTGTGTAGTAAAACCTTTTTACATTTATTGTAGAGATTAAAACAAAAAGAAATGGAAATTTTCATCCAGAACAAACATTGGTTGGTTTTGTCCACGACAGAATCTACTGGATGGGTTGCTATGAGAGATTTGACTCTGTGAGTGATAACAGGAGGTTTACATTTGTGGTTTTGAGTGAAATGTTTATTGAACTATTGGATGGAAATTCTGTGGTCAGCGGGCATTCACAGTTCTGCAGTTAAGAAAAAACATCCCTGATGGCCCCAAAAATTATTTCTTCATATACAAACATTAAAGATTAAAATGTTGCTAAACACTGAGATATGAAACCTGGAACTGCAAACAACATCCTTTGTAAGTGAAACTGAGTAGAAACTTTCACCTACTGCTTAAAACAACCCAATACTGCTTTCATAGGAATCAGGAGGAAAAGTAGCAGCCAGGTTCTGATAATCAGTGAATTTGACTAACTGAGCATCAGCAACTGTGAGCACTTCTGTAAAAGCAGTTGCTTTGACAGTTTGCTATTTGCATTCAGGTGTTTATAGCATGTCAGGAGTGGACGTCCCAGCAAATTCACACCAAGATCAGACTGTGCAATGCTCAGAGAAATTGCTCAAAACCCAGAGCTACATCTCAGACTCTACAGGCCTCGGTTAGAATGTTAAATGTTAAAACTCTCGACAGAAAAAGCCTCTTCTCTGTAAAATGAAAATAGCAACATACCTTAGTTTTGCAAAGTTGCATCTGATTAAACCACAAGACTTTTGGAATAAAGTCCTTAGGACAGAGGAGACCAAAGTGGACATGTTTGGCCATAATGCAGTACCACATGTGGCAAAAACCAAACACAGCATACCAGCACAAACACCTCATACGAACTGTCAAGCACGGTGGTGGAGGGGTGATGATTTGGACTAGTTTTGCAGCCACGGTGCCTAGGCACATTGTAGTCATGAAGTTGACCACAAAGTTCTCTGTATACCAAGTATTCTAAGGTCAAACGTGAGGGTGTCTGTCTGAAAGTGGGTCATGAAACAGTACTATGATCCCAAGCACAGCGGCAAATCTACAATAGAGTGACTAAAGAAAAAAAGGTAAGAATCAAGATGTTGTAATGTCCCAGTTAAAGTCCAGGCCTCAACCTGACTAAAATTCTGTGGTGAGATATTAATAGTGCTGTGCATAAACAAATGACCGCAAACCTGAAAGAACTGAAGCAACACTGTAAAGAAGAGTGAGCCAGAAATTCTCCACAGTGAGGTGAGAAGACTGACAAAGTCATACAGAAATTTTTACTTCCAGTTATTGCTGCCAAAGCTGGTTCCACAATCTACTAATTTTTGTGGGGTGTACTTAGTTTTACTTTCTTTTTCACATGACTCTATGTGGGCTGCACGAAAACAAACAACACAATCACAACAAGGAGCATTCATTGCA